TTTCATTTTTTTCTCTCTTATTTTCAACCATACAATTTTTCATAAAATAATATTACACGTAAATCGAAAATTTTTGCTTCTTTTTCAACCGCTCATTTTAAAGAAAAACACTATTCCATCCATTTTTACTTCAAAAAATGGGCGCCAAACGGGGACTAAATTTATTTCCAAAAAATTTGCTGCAACATAATCAGCCCGACATAATTATCTAATTTTGAACTTTTACTGAATTTGAATTACATTATAAAAGAATAAACTCAATTTGAATTCAATCTAACAATTAAAAAATTGCTTACAAAATCTTTAACCCTATTTGACAACCATTATCGGAAAATATTTTTTTCTACGTACTCACTTTCAGTCAGTGTTCTAAATAGCATGTCAATACGCGCATTGGCGCAAGGCGAGGCTAAGGTGCCAAGAACTTTTGTTTGGCGCCTTATTTGGCTGTCAATGGGCGCGAGGCGAGGCGAGGCTGAAGTGCCTAGGCGCGCGTTATTAGGTTTTTTTCTTTTTTCTTTTTTTTTTTGCAATTGTTTTAAGTTAAAACTTATAATTATTAAATAACATTTTTATTGATTGAAAATGTAAAATAATATTAAAATAAGAAAACGTTTTTTTACCATTTGCCTCGCCTAATCTCGCACTATCCTTAGCTTGGCATCAACGCATCGTCAAACATTACGCCTTTTAGAACACTGTTTTCAATCATACGTCCACACAATAAAATATTCTATACGTAAACCCGAAACTTTTTTCTACTTTTTTTATCACACGTTCTCCTCAAAACCATTATTCAAAACATTTTTTTTTCCAAATAATGATTGTCAAACAGAGACTTAATCTTTGAGAGTGTGTTTAATAGGAAAAATTTTCATGGAAAAGGCCATTTTTTCATCTAAATTTCAATTTTTGGGGAGTGTTTAATTGTCATTTTTTTTTCGTGAAACATATTTTTCAACATTTGAAAATATGTTTAGTTTTCCTTATTTTTTAGGATAACATTTTTTTTTGGGAGGTATGTTTTTATTTTCTTCAAAACAAGAAAAATATTTTCATTTCTAAAATTTATTTTTCATGCAAGTCAAACATACCTTTAGATTCATAATTCAAAGAACTCTAATTGAAACTCACATGTTGATGTTGTTGGCAACCCTAATGGTATGTACATCTATTATCCGTAGCGTCACAAAAGTCGTCGAGGTTAAAATTTCGAGTTTTGCTACAAAAACAGAGGGCCCATGTGGCTCTATTTGAGAAGAATTATTCTAAAATGAGGAAACTACACCAAAGCCAGTAGAGGTGTTGCGGTGTGATGATGGATTGGTGGTAGTTGGTACTGGTGTTGTGGTGGTTGGGTGAGTGGTGTGGTGCTCTGATGCGGTGCTATTTTACCAATTTATGGTGTTTCTCTGGCATGAGTTAGGTTGGTTCTTGTTGGTGGCGGTACTGCCGTAGTGGTGGATCCATCTATAGTGGTGGGGATTGTTAGATCGGTGGTGGTGTGTGGTGTGTTGGCCATGGTTGGTGGTTGCAGATGGTATGGTTATGTAGAAGGCGGTGATGGTGGTGGTTACCTAAGACCAATGTGATCTTAAAATTCGATAATTGTGACCAACAAATTCGAAAATATGTGATTGAAAGATAATCTGTGACCAATGAAAAAAATGTGACAATAAAATTTTTGATTTGTGATTTTGAAATAATCTATGACTTACACTATTTGATTTATGACCTCAAAAAAATTTGTGACCAATTAATTTGATGATATATGACCAGTAAATGAATTTGTGACTTATTATTGTGAATCTGGACCATTAATTATGTAATTGTGATTTTTATTATATTAAATTACTAAATATTTTTAATTAATTAGATAAAAACGTGATTTTTGCATAATTAAACTTAATCACCTGATTTTTGAAGTGTACATCCTTATAACCTGGTTTGTGAATTTTTTTCCAAATTCCTAAGTTGTGGGCCATCAGCCCATATGTAGCTTTATTTTAAATTTTAAATCTCAGCCCGCAATAACTTTTCTCCTAGAAAGCGCACATTTTGGTCAGAAAAATCACAAGCCTTGAAAAATGTGGAAAAAAAAAAGGATATTCACTTTTACCATTGTTCCTAAAATTTGTTTCCATTGCCAACCAATAAAAAAAAAGGAAAGAAAACGATCAAAAAATCATCTATATTTTAGTGTTCGTTTGGCTTTATTTTACATGAAAATTGTCAATTTCAGGGATATCCCCTTTTACAATTGTTTTTAAAATTTGTTCCCATTACCAACAATAAAAAAAAACAAAAAGCCAAAAGCCAAAAAAAAAGGTGGAAAACCAAAAACCACCGACCACTAGGAAAATAAAAGGTGGAAAATCACGCTTTAAGGTGTTGTACCTAGAAATTCATGGAAAATCAATTTCCTGAAAAATTTTGTCAATCAAACAGGCCAAAAGTGGAAGTTGGAATTCGAGTTCCAAGTTCCATGGAAAATTTCGTGCAATCAAACGGGGCCTAAAATTCAAAAACAGTTTTGAAATTAAGCATCTACTTTTAAACATATTTGGATAATTTTTAAGAAGTGCATAAATAGAATAACTTTTATAGAAAGTTGATTTAGGGCTTGTTTGAGCCATATTTTTTTTTTTCAAAAATGAAGAATGTGTAATTAAAAATTAAAGAAAAAATTTGGGTTTATGTGTAATATTATTTTATTGAAAAATATGTGATTGAAATGAGATTAAATCACCGTTGAAAAATGTATTTTGATAGCAAAAATGAGGGCTCAAACAAGTGTCTAATGTAACTTTAGCAGAAAGTGCTTCTAAAGAAACAGAAGCAAAAGTGGAAGTCATACCAAACGGACCATTCACCTAAACTACTAGTGATGCACAACAACGTAGAGAAACAAAGAGAGAAGACAATGGAAAAGGAAATTATAGAGAAAATCTCAATGATACTATCATATATAGTCATTCTATTTATGTGTACATATTCCACTAAGATCGAAAATTAATTATAAATAAGGAAAAAATGAAAATTTATTTATCTAATTTAACCTCTGTCAAGTGTAGTAAAAATAAAATAACTTACAATGATGGCATATTTTTAAAATTTCTAATTCCTATGACCGTGTGGAAGGTGAATGTCATTCATACTTGTAGTGTTTAGTGCATCACTAGCATACAAGCCATTGATTGATTAATTTAGGCCCCATGGACGAGGAAAAAAAAACTTCAATAATTGGCTAAGATATTAAATAAATATTTCAATCATTTATCTCATAATTGAGATATTGAATTGAATAATAAAACTCACTCTTACAAGTTACATCCATTTATCTAAGAAAAGTTTTCCACGTTCACAAGATTCATTTTTCATTCTAATAAACCTATGTTTTGGTTTTATCAATACAAATTATAAAATTTCACAAGGAAAACAGTGAAGCATAATAATACCGTTTGTTACATTTGTGAGTCCCTTACTCTGACTTTGCTAGCAAGCGTAAACAAATTTGATTACTGCTTAGCATTAGATTTATTACAATTCCACGGCCTTTCAATTTCAACCTAAAACGTGTTAAGGACGTGAGTTGAGCTATTTGTACGTTATTGGTTCCACGTCTTAATCGATCTCTCAAGTGTTCCCATCCATCTCAAATTACACGGTAGAATACTAAATGAATATATGATTTATGATTATTACGTACACTCATATATTTTATCTTTACGTCTATTGACTACTAAAATATTGAAAAAGTGACAAATATACACATTGACACCTTTAAACACAAATACTTATTCACATGCAATTAGATAGCATTGGCTTTAATGTACTACAAAATGAAAAAAATATATAGAGACACATAAATGAGTTTTGTTGATTTCAATATCTGTCCAATTAAGTGATCAACAGATCTCGACCAACAACTTATAATCTGCACACATCATTAGAATGCAAAAATCACAACCTCAAAAATATGTCTTGTGATTATTTACACTTCGACGGTCAAATTAACTATCAAAATGAGAAGAATAAATTCAAGAGAAATGAATGAGAGGAGATTTAAGTATGGTTTAGAGTGTACATACCTTAAGTATAAACAGACTCACCTTTACGCATAGGAAGGGAAAGGGGCCACGATTGGCCATTGAAGCAGGCTAAAGTACAAGAACGATTTATTAAATTTGATATGACCCTATTCAATTAACATCGTCGATATCCAACCAGCTAATGAGTGATTGATCTCTTCACATGCATGTCACATAATTTATAAATGCAAAAAATTTAAGGTGCTTTTTAGCGCATTTGTAAGTTCGAGTGTGACAAGTAACAAAGCAATCGCCCTAATTAACGTATGTGGTCACGTCTTCTATATCACATAAGAAGAAATTTGGTAAACTAAGCTAATACTATAGCACTTTCACTTTAGATTATATGAACTAGTATCCGGATGGCAACGGGGCAGGGTCTCGTCCAAACCTCACCTCGTCCCGCATGCTCACCCTGCCTTACCTTAGATTGGGTAGGGCAGGCCAACTTTTTGTCCCATTTAATTTTTATTTTATTTTTTTCACATTTTCAAAGTTTCGAGTTATGTTATTATTAGAGAATAAAATGCAAATTCAAAATGAGTTTTTAATGGATGAATTGTCTAGAAATAAAATTATTTTTAATTATATTTATATATTTTTCTTCACGGGGTGGGTGCCCCGCCTCACCAACTCGTTCGCGGCAAGCTTTTTGTCCCATTTGGAGTAGGACGAATTGGATTTTTTTGCCGTCACTAAATTGCTGAAATGAGAAGGCAACTGCCACATGGTGACCTTGTCTCCTTCACTGGGTTTTGACTTTTAGTCATTGTTGACGATAATATTGCAGAAAAAAAAAATACAAGATATTGCAGAAGAAAAAATAAACACGCATTATTCAAAATCAATTTTTATTATATATATATATCATCAGCATAATAGACAACTAAACTATTATAGCATTGAAAAAGGAAATTCAGCTCAACTGAGAGTCCCACAAATTGTTCTTTTTTCTTCTTTTTTGTCATTTTTCTGTTTAATCTTCAACAATATATTCCTTTCTGCCTTTCCTTCTCTCTCTCTCTCTCTCTACATCTGTCAATGAAATCGCACAAAAGTAAAACCCAGCATTTTTATTTTCTGGACCACTACCCCTTCCTTTCATATTAATCCTCTTTTTGTGAATTCACTTTTGAATCGGAAATTATGGGATTGCTCATTTCTTTTGTAACTCAAGAGATTTCGATGGGTTAACCTCTCACTCATTTATTTTCTGTAGGTATGTTTTCTCTTTACCACCATTTTAACTAAGCATTAATTTCATAATATATCTCTCTCGCACGCGCGCGCGCACACACACATATGCATGCATGTTTCTGTGTGAATCTGAATTCATATATTAAAGAATGGACCAAATAGGTGAAACTTTGGGGTTTGGATTTCAGGGCAAGAGTAGAAATAGAGAGAGGAGCAAGAACTATAGCGGAGCTATTGAGAGAGAGAATGGATGGCTTTGGTCGCGTGATCAGAAGAAAGACTCTAGCTGAACGGCTAGGATTGAAGAATATTGGGTGCTGTGGAAGCACATGGGGCCTCCGCCCAACCTCCGTAAGTGAACGTGATGACGATGAACAAGAGTATGGCCCAAATGAACCACAAATTGAAGTAATAAGTGTAAACCACGCGCCTCCGGAAAACGAGGTAACCCCCGAGTGCATCAGTCATTCTCCGGCGGTGTCAGGGATGAACTTGGCGGCAGCTTTGGCCGCGGAACGCCACCTCAGGGCAGCGCTAGATTCGGATAATGGAGGAATTGACCCAGGCCCAAGCCCAGAAAGGCCCAGTAACAATGAATGGTACGATGGAACTGCAGGAACCGCACCTAGGACCTCATTCAGGGTGTCTTTGATGAGACTACTGGAAGAAACGGATGGCTGGGATGAAGAGGTGAAGAAAGAGGAAACAGGAGGACGACTAGAAGGTCGATGTGGTGATTCAGTGTGCTGCGTGTGCATGGGAAGGAAAAAAGATGCAGCATTTATACCATGTGGGCACACTTTTTGCAGAATTTGTTCAAGAGAGTTGTGGTTGAATCGTGGTACTTGTCCCCTTTGCAACCGTCTGATTCTCGAAATTCTCGATATTTACTGAGATCAGCCAGATTGATTCTTGAGGTTTGTGATAGATTTGAATCAAACTATGGTCATGAATTTTATGACAATGTGGAATTCACTCATACGAATTTTAAGTCCGAATTGATTGATACTGTAACAGG